CCGAGATTCAACAGTTATAACGTATGATGTGAAAGTGTACATATATATTATAATGTCAAGTATGAGAGTATTATGACGTGTGATGTGAGAGTACACGTATGTATTATAAAATGCTGTATTATGACGTGTGGTGTAGGAATGCTTATATATATATTATGACGTGATATGAAAGTACATATATGTATTATGATATACGATATGAAAGTATACATATATATATTATGATATGCAATATGAAAGTGCACATATGTATTTTGACGTATAGTGTGATAATACACATATATACTATGATCACGTGAGATGTAAAATTACATATATATGTTATAATATATAAAGAGGAGAAGTCTATGAATTTTTTTTCTCTTTATTTTGGATATGCTACATTGTAGAATTATCCTTACTAAAGATGTCGTTGAATGAAAAAATATATATTATTATTTATATATATCATTCATTTTATAACTATTCAAAAGAAAGACTATATGCCATTAAACGTTATTAGGTAAATACTTTATTTTCATACTCTGAAGGATAGATTTGTAGAGCACACGAAGAAGCTAGAGAAGGAGAACTTGCATCTCATGAACACCATGAAACACCGGTAAAGCAGTTGAACGCCACCACCGTCGAGATCCATCATCTCTTCCAGCTTCGACTCCTCACCGGCAGATTCATCCTTACCTCAACCCAACTCTCCTTTGCAATCTCCGACGACACCTTAGGGAAACCATGAGCATAGTTCGGCAGAACCACCCCCTCCTCTTCCGCCCTAATCACCTTCGCCGACGACTCTTCTCCATCACCACCGCCGCCTCCTCTCGGTGACCACCTCGTTGCAGGTGCTGACCTACACCTCGTGAGCAGAAGAGCATTTGGAGGTGGCGCCATCGATTCCACTTCGCAACGTCCGTTGCTCTCCTCTTCCACGGCCTCCTGTAGTTGGCGATTGTCTTTCCTCTCCTCTTCATCTTCGTCTTCCTCTTCACTGGTGCAGTCCGCTGGGGCACGGAACGAACCGAAGCACCTGGCGCCAAAGCGGAGGCCTCGGAGGGCGCCAAGGAAGTGCATGGCGTCCTTCTTGAGGCCGAACATTTCGAGCCAGTTCCTGTCGCAGCCGCCGCCGCTGCGTCTGGGCGTTGGTCTCGCCTTGGCCCTTACCTTGATCTGGCCGGCGCAGGTGACCTTGGGCGAGGCCGGCTCGTCGAGCTCCGCCGAGTTCAAGTGCTTGGCCTTGGCCTTAAAGAGGGGGCTCGCCCGGCCACGGCCGGTGTGCCTCGTCGGAGGGCGCCTGCCGGATTCCGTGTGCCGCGATGGACCACTTATAGTCTTTGGCATCAGCGGCAGATGAGCTCTTGATGGAAAGCAGACCAAAAGGTCTGTTGAGACTCCTCTTCCTCCTCCCAGGCTTCCTTTCATGGCCTCTCTCTCTCTCTCTCGCGTTTATGCCCTTTGATTTGCTGCTCTGTTTCTCAGGAAGGCAAAGTGTGGATTAAAAGGGAGGGCTAAACCAGCTTTACTTTCTTGCTTTGGCCGCCAGTATTGTCGTCTATCTTCATGTTTTCTTTCTTTATTTCCTTGATCTTTTGGGTGGTGATCATCGAGAGGGTTACTGTTCCGGAACTCGCCATTTGGATGTTAGATAATAATAAGTAGGTACATTACATCATTCAATCAAAAGAACTAACTTTATAGTTAAGAATTGAGATGGAGACTTGAGATTACTATAAAAATCTAACTATTTGGAGAAGTGATCTTAGTGCACTGATTTAAGCCATTAGTTAAATGCAATCTTATGCTTCAAGCAATACACTCTTCTCATGGTGTAATGATTAAGGGAAACAATATATCAAATCCATATCTAACTGCAGCAATCATTTATTTGTAAGGTTCTTCACCCGCCCTTCATTCCATGTTCCAAACAGCGATGTCAATCAGGCGGGATGGGGAGCGAGAAATGCTTCCTCGTCGTCTTCGTTATGGTCTTATCCTTCCGTCTCCTATCCTCGTCTCATTCTGTATTTAGATAAGACAGGGACGAAGACCATATCATTTTAATTAATTAATTCAATTAAAAAAAACCATCGTAATATCACCCGCGATTGGAGATTAGGTGTACTGTTGAGAGATATTTTATTTAATTCAATTGAATCAAATGATTTATAATTGAATCATGATCTATTCGATTGAGGTTGATCCAATCTAATTTGAATAACGAAAGCATGGCCTAACATCTCAACTCACGTATTAATGAGTCGGATATAAAAATAACTACCGGAGAATGCTCTATCTATCCCCACCCCACATTTGTACGCTAATATAAAATACCTTTCATCTCCATTTATTTTTCCTATCATCATCCCATTAGGAACATTTTCCGAACATAATTGACATTCTAGAAAATAAAAAATAGTACTTTTTCTTATAATAATATAGTGGTTAAGGAGCTCAACTCTCGTCGAATGACAAACCAAACCAGAACGAATGCAGATTCCTTGCAAATTGATTCAGCCAAACACCACACTTAGCTCTTTTGTTATCATAGTTTAAGAAAGGAAGCCTAACTCAAAAGAGGTCACCATCATTCTCCTATTGAGTAGCAAGTAGTTCATCTCATTGGGTTCAGTGCGTTACCACCCGATCTGATGAAGCAATTAATCCATTAATTTATTGAACCTAAATCATTATCCCAAATTGCTTAGATCCAAATTGAAGCTACTAATTTCATCAAATATAATATAACTCAAAACCAACCTCCAACATAGTGCACATATGATCGTCCTATCTAGCAATGATTTCTCCGTTTTCTATTTGAGTTCCTCACATTATCTAATCATATGTACACCATAATTAACCGATTAATTTATTGAGCCCGAACAAGGATCCTAAAACATTTAAACTAAAATTATCAATAATAAATATATCAAGCGAATAAATCTTTATCTACCAATTATTAAGGTTAATACACAATATATCCAAGGAAGAATAGGGAGAATCCTCCTCCCAAAGACTAGTAGTAGTTAAAGTTTAGAGGAACACTAGTACTCTCATAAATAGTATGGTTAAGCATCTACTTGTGTTGGTGGGGAAGGTCAAGGAGCAGTTAGGAATTAATGAAGAGAGTGACAGAATAGAATAAGCCATACCTACTTGGTGTAAATCCTGATAGCATCATGAGTGGGAGGTCCAACTCTTTAACTTTAGCTGATAGAGATGCTCTTGCGCATGATGTTAGTCTGTGAGAAAAGATATTATCATATGAAGCACACTGTTAACTATTTTGAAATGTAAAGAAGAGATCTGACATTTTGGTGCAAGCATCATAGCATATATTAGTTACAAGACACACAATGAACCTAAAAATATGAATATGACTTGATTCCAAGGTTAGATTGATGTGAAGTCCAAAGCAGAACTAAGCCGATCATTAGGAAGAACACCAGGTTCTCTGGGTGTGTGTGTATGAGACAAGCACACAGGGCTAATGTGACAAATGGATGCTGGCTGAAGTAGGGAAATGGTGATTCCAAGTTCCAAGATGTGTCATTAAGTTTCGACGAGAATGAGAGGTGACAAAGTCCTCCAACTACGCGGGTGGCGGCAACGGGCTGAAGCCCGCAAGGAGGCACGGCTGCTTCGGCGGTGTGCTCCTTAGAGCCGGTCCACCGGTTCGGGTGGGTTTACTGCTGTGTGTCACGGCATCATTTCCACAGCACTTGGCCGTTGATTGCGTCTGTTCTCGAGCTTGTGCGTCGAAGAAGTGTAAGCCGGCGGGCATGCAGCGCTGCCACCGCAGCACACACGTGCACGGGCGCCAGCCACGTACTCCCTTTCCACGCACCGCTCCGCCGCAAGGCGCTCTCAGCAGCAGCGACCAGCTCGCGCACCGTCCCCGAAGCCCCCTTCCTCTCCCTATCCTCTCCACAGGCCATGTGGAGCCCCCGCACCCCGATGAGTCCCGCCTTCGCCCCCCTACTTTTACCACGACTCTCTATCTCTCTCCGCGTGTGCGTCTGTGTTCTATTTAAACCCCTATAACTGCACTCACGGCCATCTCGCCCATGTCTTTTAGTTTCCACACGTCGGTTTCACAGAAATACCTGCATGCGATGGCTTCACACGAAGCCATGACGAAGGTCATGGTGGGGAGGACGACGGAGTACCGAAAGGGCACCGACACCGAGCTGCTCGCCCTCCACAGCAGCTCCGCCGAGCTGCTGCTCCTTTGTGGGGAGCGGTTCGACGCCGTGCAGGCCTTCCGCACAGGGCGGCTCTCCTTGCACATGATCAGAGCGAAGGGGAACGCCGTTTGCATGGTGAGTTGCACGGTGGGGGATCACCAGTGGATGCTGGCCAAGGACTCGCTCGTCCTCCGTGTTGACCCTCGCAGGTATGTCTTCGCCATGCCCGGCTTCTGCTACGGACTTGCATTGCTGGGCTCTGGTTCGGACCATGAGTGCAGAACGCTGGAAGAGATCCTTGCGAGGTTTTGTGCTTACCAAGACATTGCAGCCGAGGAAGGTAATTAACCCACAAGGGATTTGCTGTCTCCATGATTTCCCCGTTGACCATTCCTCCTTTTCTCTCAGGAGCTGATATATGGGCTCATGCCTATGACGAGATGACGAAGCTCACCACCAACGCCGCCGCCGCCGCCATCGACACCACCACCGGCGGGGCCAGACGGCCATCAACTGCCACAGGCATCGCCTCTTCCGAATCAGAGAAATGGAAGAAGATCCAGCGGGCAGTGAGGACGTCGGCCATGGTCAAGCTGCTCTCCCGGTCCCTCCTCACCGGTGCGCTCGACCCCAGAAAGCACCTCGACGTGACCGCCGGCAATAACCTCCCGAGCATGCGGGTTATAGGAGACCTTGCGGACGTGATCGAGACAGGGCGGCGACCACCCGCGGTGGACGGGCGGAACTCCTTTTGGTATGTGAATGGTGAGGGGATAAGGCTGCTGCTCGCGATCCTCTCGGCGTGCGGAGCCGCCGAGCGGAGGAAGCGACCACGCCTGGAGACTCTCAGAGAGGAGTCCGAGTGGGCGAGCGAAGGCAATGCAGGTGATGAGGGAGGTGGAGTCAGCAGCAGTGGTTCAAGGTGCCTTAGTAAAGAGGTGAGGTTAGAGAGAGAGAAGGACGACCAATGAAACAATGTCCAAAGTCATATGTTCTCCTATCTTGACATAATTTTAGCAGCTCGATGTTCTCTTCTTCCTCCTAAAGTAAGAAAGTAAGGATGATAAGTGATTGACGAGGGGGAGAAGGCGGGAGGACGCTCCAATGGTGAGGCTCAATGTTGCGTCTTCCCCGCCCACAGGAAACGGAGGATAACTACTGCTCCTCTGTTAATCCATTTGTAAAAGTGGAGAACTAAAGTAATAATTTAAATGAATGGGACTTCAACGTCAGAGAGGGAGAGAGATGAAGATTAGATTGCATAAAAGAGGAACTGGAGATATTATAGGCAGTAAATGCGATATAACAGCAGGTTTACTTACTGGTGGGAGTCGTTGCCAATGATGCATCTCAAGTCGTGCTGCTTCCTGGGAGGGTGCTTTCTGTAGAACTTATGCATTTGAAGGTTCTGCATATAGAAATCAAATTTAGCCAACATAAAATTCTTGTATAATTAATTATATTGCTAATGACGAGAATTTATAGCTAGACACAGTAAACTAAGCAATCGAATTCTAGCAGAATGAAGCTTAAGATGCTTTGCAAAATGATAAAAAAAAGGTTTAGGCAAGACATTCCACACCATGCTAAAAAAAAGGGGGGAGAGACAGAGACCAGCTCAGCAGAATAATAGCATATTTAATTCATGTAAAGGGCCAGCAAAACAATAAAATGTTTCAGATACATTAAGTCAGGTCCCAAATTAACTAAATCATGTAGGGAAATGAGAGAGAGAGAAGCTCAGAAGAAAAATAGAAGACCTGAACAACACAAACATGAGGTCAGGTGGCAACTCAGAATACTCGAATCATGCAGGGAAGAGAGAGAGACCAGCTCAACAAAATTCTACTACATCCAATTCATGTAGGAGGCCAGAAAAACAATAGAGAACTTCACATCAATATAATCATTCATGTAGGAAACCAGCTAGCAAAATACTAGTACAGGCCACATGCAGGAGGCCAGCAAAAGAGTAGAGAACTTCACATACATGAGGCAGGTCCCAAATCTACATCCTCAGAACCATTGCAACAAACACTTCATACAACTGTCAAGATTGTGACAAAACATGAACATTTATTTATGTTTAACTGCACAGAATCTATCAACCAAATCAGAACTATCTCGTGACGAGAATCGGCACTAAGTACATGGGATATCAAATTGTAACAGAGATGAGCCTTGCACTTAACCAGTTGCTGCAGGTACATAGAAACTCACCATAATTTAACTCGTGTTCGTACAGTATTAACATTATATTAAAGTGGCACTCACTTGGATCCTTCTCTATGGAAGTGCATGAAGTCAAGGATACTAGATAACCAGGATCAGATAAAAGGTGATAAATACGATACTAAGAACGTAAAAGAACATGATGATTTGCACATCTCAGCCTGTAGTATTGCTGTAGAAGTTAAATAAATACTAACTCTTGCAAAGTCAGATTTGTCACACTCTTTCTTTCAGAAAGAATTAAGTGGCATTGGCCATGTACTGCCATTTGCCAATCAGACAACCAACAGATGAAGGGTGCCAAAATGGGAGAATGATGATATGCCAAGGATACTCCCACATGTAGGTTAAGCAGAGCCTACGCCAAAATTGGTACGTATACACGAGGATATTCTTCATGGATGCAACGAGATAACATTGATGCTCATCAAATCTGCAGCAACCTAAGGTCATAAACTAATTGCATATGTCAAGTTTCGTCATGGTAGCAAACTCGTGGATTTAAACATAATTTAAATGAGTTGATGAATATATACATGATAATACATCATCCAACTATCATCTATCTCACCAACATTCTCAAATATCTAGAAGTTAAATAGCACACCTAACTTTTGGCTTTAGCCATACCAGATAGACATGGATCTAGATTTTGTATTGTAGCTCGATGCCACAAAAAATGAACCATGCAGCAGACTCCGAACATTGCTGTTGAATAATCTAGCTGCATACAGTAGCACTTGTCATTTTGGAAAGATGGTTAAATCTACTGAAACTAAAAGCAAATGAACTCTATAACTAGCAGTGCTTCATCAAGCTAAAAAGATGTTTCCTTAAATAACAAATCAGAATTGATATAATCTCAGATTAAAAAAAACATATGTACCTCAACTGAAATCATTTTCTTGTGCCAAATGAATAGCATGGTCATCAATCTTTGCTGATACAAATGATTTTTTTTAGCATTGCAAGGTGAATTTCCAGAAAACCATTCTAATGAGTAGATTCTTTTAGTTCACTGTCACTAGGCAGACGTCCATCCTTTGCCATGTTAGTCAGAACATTCAATACAACATCTACGTTCTTGTGGTTCACTTAATTCAGTTCCTCATCCTTATCAAATTGAGAGATACCCTTAATAATGGTAATTGCACTGAGGAGAAAGCCATCTTGTACCATCTATGCAAACAAGTTTCCTGCCCTACAGTGTCCATGGATGATAACATTATATGCAGTAGCATCAGGCATCCACCTCCTCTTCGCTGTTGAATCAAATGCCTTATAAGCTTCATTTATCAATCCTTTTAAAGAATGAACACACTTTTGAACTCCGCTTTGCCACATCAATCCCTCAGTATGCCATATGTGATACTATCTGGAAAAAACTCATCATAGAACATCCTAACAGGAATCGTTTTACTTCCTTTGTCTGACTCACTCTATGAAAGCCTTCTTCATTCCCCACATTCCATTAGCCATCAATCAGTGTGTGTGTGGTGTATGTAAAGTCATCAAGATGTAGATCAAAATCAACATTTTCTGGGAATGCTTATAAGTGCTGTCCAGTCTCTTACTTCACAAGTACTTTCAATAAGTTGTCAAGCATCTCCTGATTCAACTGGAATGCCAGATCAATGTCTCCACTCCTACCGTGCCATTCATTTAGTTCGTAACACATCGTCTCGAACAATCCTCGATGAACATCCATCCTCCCCAGCAAACAATACCCATTAATTAGAGGATTGTAGCTCGCAAAAGGAAGCCAAATTCCACTCTCCTTTGTCTGCTTCATGATCAGGAATGCAACATTCAAGAACCATCTCGTGTGAAAGTGACCTCCTTAGTTCGGCTGACAATCTTAGTTGCTCTCCTCAGCTTCCCTGCTTTACACATTGCATTGACCAACGAAGTATATGTAACAACACAGGGTTCCACGCCCTGTGTAGTGCGAGTATGGCATCAGGGGCCAACACTTCCACCATCTCATCGGAAAACTTTCTTGAATCCGTCATCGTCCTCAGCAGCAGGCGACCGACTTGCAGGGACCATCAGTCAGAGTGTTGTATGTGAACGACAACTTTGGGCGAACACCCGGCGAGCGTCATCTCAGATGGGAAAGCCGACGCCCGATCCAATTCAACTCATGAGTATAATTCTCTGATAAGTATGTTGGATGTGTAGACACTGGACGAAATCCCGAAACCAGCCATTCATCGACCAACTCTTCGATTGGCGTCGAGGGCGAAGTTGTAGGAGAGAAAGGCTGGGGAAAATCCGGCATCGCTGGTGATGGAGACAGCGGAGAGAGAGAGGGTGGTGAGGGAGAGGGAGGAGTATTACTTGACGAGAAAGGAGACGTCCATCTCGGCGAGGAGGCGGCGCCGACTTCGAGAGGGCTCCGCGTGGGGGCGAATCGCCGCCCTAGCAACGAAGGCGGGCCTATTACTTTGGATCGATCGGAGAGCCCGAACGAAGCCCAAATAGAAATTCTACCCGATTCTGACTCGACTCGAGCTCTGTTCGGACCCATCACAATGAGCCAATTAGCTTATCGATGTCAATTCCGATCCCAATGTGCACAGAATTAGCCATCACACACACACACACACACATCCAATATGATGGGGCCAAATATGAGCTCAAAGCAGTGACGAGAAAAGGAAAGGGCGGGGAGACGGGCCTGCGAAGGCGGCATGGATGCATGTCACCGTCCCAACCCATGGTGTGCATGAAAAGGCATCATCACTGCAGTGGGATCCAACTCCTCACCAACCATGGATTCCTCCCCACCACCTTGTTGGTGCGGCCCTTTCATCCCACCAACATCAAAACAAAGAAACCTTGGATGTTGCTGAGATTCCACTCCCTCTATTGAGGTGGGACTGACAGAGATCCAAGGTGGCCAATGGTGGAGTTCTGATAGATACCAGGTGGTGGTGGTGGTGGTGGTGGTGGTGGTGTTTGATATTTTAGTCTTCCTAGCTAGGAAGAACAGTTCCTGGAGATCCAAAGCCATGTGCTCATTAGGTTTGCCTGCTCCTGTGCCTCTTGTTTCAACAACACACTCCAAAGCTTTTGCTCTAAGAACATACAGCCAAAACAGCACCCAGTAATGGCTGCACCCAATATTTTTATCTTGCCTTGTTCTTCTGCATGGAGTTGGAGACCTCAAGGACAGTCTCAATTATATGACCACTAGTCTTGTCTTACTTGTTGTCTGAACTGAGGATGAGAAGACAACCAATCAGCATATGTGATATTAATGATGATACCCGATTATCCAAGATGACTTTTCTCAATCAGTAGGATCGATCACAGATTTGTCTTTCCTTCAACCAGGACCTCAGATGTCAGAAGGCAAGCGATTAAGAGATAGATACTATAGCCCCTCCATACCAAGGATTAGGAAGGTGGGCATGAGAAGAGTTTGCGACAGCTCTCACGTAGAATAGCTCAGCTATTCCTAAAGCTAAAGGATGTGATCTCACCAGCATATTTCAATCTGTTCACAACTCCCCTTGTACTTTGCCTCTGATAGGGAGGATGATGAGATCAAGCATCTGTGAGTGGCTTTTGGGTAGGATGCAGTGGTTTCAGAGTTCATTAGTTGGTGGATGCTGTCAGAAGTAAGACTGTCAGCTGATGTTAGTAAGTGTGAGACTGTGAGTGGAGGAACCAATGATTTATTTTCTGCTAAAGCCTCGATTAAGTGAAAACAACACAGTCACGAGGGTCTCTGCAGATTCATGTGGAGGAAGGAAACATGTCAGTGATTGATGGAAAGGCTCATCACAATGATTGGGACACTGAGTGCATTTCAGGTAGCTGCTAGTTTTCTTTCACCAGAGAGGTGCCAGAAGAATAGGGACTGAAAGACCCAGTGAGATGCTACAGCTATCTCAAATTGCTGAGATAACTTCCCAGCCTACCATGGAAATAGTGACTTCAGGAATCCAAGATTTGCAAATCAGCATCACAGTCATCATGAATGAAAAATTACTATCAGGAACAGTCTTAAAGAAATCATCATTACTCATCAATGGACTATTAATGTCAGTAACTTCTGTTGTTACTGTGTTTTAGTGACAGAAAAAAAGACACAAGACAACCGGAATGCCTACAGATATCTGCAATACGAAGAGTTGTCATCACTGTTTACGACCTTAATAAGGACCTGAAGGAAAATAGCACTTCAACTAAAAGGGCACTTTCCTGGTGGAAATTACATCGTCTGTTGACCTGCATAAGAATTATTACTAAATCTGAAGAAGTGAATCTGTTCTTTTTTAGTATAATTTTGTCACTTACACTGTTGCTTTTGAGCTGCAACATTGTTCACCAGTGAGATGAACAGTCAATCACAAGCTCAGAGTCCATGAAATGAATCAAGCCAAAGTTTGGACTTTCGACCGCTAACAAGTCTCGTTAAAGATTGCCAAAAGCAATTTTGCTTGGAAGAAAAAGTACATCTGCTAAAAGGCATGCCAAAGTCGGACCACTAACAAGTCTCTCTAATAATAAGTTGCCATCACTTCCAGCACACAAGTATATTCACGTACTACTCACAGGGTTTGTCAAACATGGCACAACTATTATCATGTACCAATCTCTTGCTTGCAAGAAACAGCTAGATGTGTTGGAAGAAAGCAAGCCACACATCTCCATGAACTAATTCCAAGATATCCAACCTCAGATAAACAGGAGGCACATTGGGTCTTGCAAAGGGGAGAACTGTTATTTCTTTCTGCATTGTACATGATTCTACATGCAAAACATAGCTCCATCCAGGGGCGAGAAAGCTACTCTATTTTGAAGTGCTTTCGAGCCCAAAAAAAGTCTCCAAGAGAAGGGAAAATGAAACGCGGGTAGGTGTCTTTATGTCTTCTTCTTCTTAACAAGAAACAACATGAGCACCGATCACAGTCAATGGGGGGGCGGTAGCGTGAGAGCTCCTTACAGTTTACGCCTTTGGACGAGCCTTCGAGGAGAGGTTCTTCCACTCCACCAAGCGAAGTAAGAACTCCATCACCTACAGAACATGGCCAAATCGAGTCACGTCCAGTGCAACATCTCCATCGCAGTAGCCATCAGGCGGAGTGGAACCTGATGGCGCCCAAAGCAAACGAAAGCAAAGCCTGAAATTGCACTGACCTCAGAAGGCTCTCCAAGGGAATAAGAGGCGTTTGTCTCTTTAGGATTCTTCGAAACAAGTATTCCAAACCCTTGTCCTCTGTCCCGTAAAACCTGACAAAGACATGTCAGGGTTCTCGCGCTTGTTAATAGGAGCTGCTAATGAACTCGGACAAAGACGGTGAAAGCCACTGTTACCAGACTCGTGATTGAATTCAACGTACCTTGAACGCATCTTCGTCGGTGCAATCATCTCCGATATAAAGGGGCACTGCCGTCTTGCAGTCAGCAAAGCCTGCATAGTTAATGCGTGCTTTCTGGTTACAGAAGAACGGGATGTGATGTGATACATGTTTAGGCAATGATGATCGTGAAACTTACCGAATGACTCTAACAGGAACTCCAAGGCCTTCCCCTTATCCCATTTGATAGTAGGGCGGATCTCCCACACCTATCGATCACATAAACATGCAAATCAGATCACGTCGAAACATGTTATATCATACGCAACATAAAGATACTGATCGAGACCACGGTCGTGGACGCACCATTCTCCCTCCGGTCATCCGCAATTCGGGGTATTCGTTTATCACTGACAACACCTGCTCTAGCAACCCACTCCGGCGCTGCACAATGTTTACACATATTGCTTTCACGTATGGCATCAAACAAGAAGTTGGTGCAGAAAGATGGAAGAATCACCGCTCACCTTTTCATCCACACATCTGTAATGGACGGAGACGCAGAACTTGTTGTTCTCCACCTTGGCGCCAGGGATGGACTTGGTCTCCTCCAGCAGCGCTCTATGAACCTGGAGGGAACAAACAAGAACAAATGCTGGTGACCATTGCTCTGGTTTCAGGTATGGATTGATGTACTAGTGCTTTTCAAGGCCTGGCCCTGCTACAGAGACACTTGGAAGAGGAACCAACCTCATTTATCATGGGGAGGAACTCGCTAGCTGGTTGGAAGAGAACAGGTCGTTTCTAAACCAGAAGAACGTGAGAACACATGTGAGCCAACTTACGTGTATGCTTTTGTTGAGTTTGATATGTGAGGAGGAGTCGTGCCTACCTTCTTGGTGTATCCCTTGGGAACCTTGATGTCCATGCCATGGCTTCCAGCGTAGCATAGTCCGGTTAGTCTCACGAAATCGTACACCTGCAGACCATGAGATGGAAATAGTAAGAGAACAGAGGAAGTATGAACATAGTCAGCATCTTTCGACTACCGCGAGGTGGGATCGGCATCAACCTTGCTTCGGCATCGCCCGCTCACGATCGCCGTGGGGAAGCACCTCGCCACTTCCTTCACTGCAGCTCTCATCTGATTGGAATAATAAAAATGCCATCTTTAACAGTTGAGAATACAACTAGAAGCAGAGGACGCCTGAAACAAGAGTCAGGTGCTCACTGCGTCGGACATGAAAGCGGAGTCGGGATCATCGACAATAGGGGAGAGGGTCCCGTCGTAGTCCAAGAAGATCACGATCTGCTTTCCGTCGGTGGCACTCATGATCTGTTCGAACTCGATCAAAGCAGAGGGGTGCCGCATCTACGAAGGGATCAAACACCATCAGCACCCGAAACATCCGTACTTCCGAGTTAAAAAAACGAAGCAGCACTTACAAGCTCCGGAACCATCGCATTGTTCGTCATCTCTTCCGTGATAGAGGAACAGAGATCAAAGCACAAGCTCGAGGAGAAGAGAAAAGATCGGATCTTTCTGTTTCCTCCCCGCTATAGGCTTTGTGCAATCGACAAAGCGGCGGTGGTGGTTGGGGAGGTGTGGCAGGGGAGGGTGGATATATAGGAAGAAGGACGCAAGGCGACGTAGGGGGCGGAGAGCATCCGCGGTTGGCGGTGTCCAACGGGGCCCCGGACGTGGGCCAACCGGCCAGAACCGGTCCGCCGTCTTCTACGTCGGCGGGGACGTACGATCTCGCCAGCTGGCGGCGCGTACACGTGCTGAAAACCGGGGTCGAGGTGCCCCCCGCACGTGTCGAAGACGCAGCAGGCAGCAAATCCACGGACGCCAAAAGCCGCTAATAACCGGGGCGTTTTCCCAGTTAAGGCGGTCTTCTTATTACCTTCTCCTCTTCCCTCCACCAGCAACATAGTTCATAAGGACGTTAAGATCATACAGTACCTAATAACTTATTCGAACTTACTGGGAATTCTGATTTCTAAAGGAGCATTATTGGGGCTTGACGCCCATGGTAAACATAGGAAACAACCAGCCACAGGATGCCAAAACCAGCTGCCAGGTCTGTAATCAACCTGTGCATATTGTACTCTCCAGCAGTACGTATTAAAAAAAAGGAAGACCTTCAACACTAATCAATCTTTGTTACAGGACTAAACAACACGATGACATTCTACTATTCTTTCCGATTGGTCTTTTGGTCTCCTGAGGGTTTGGTGTTCCGGTTTGCAGCCGTCCTGAGTCGCAAAAAGTCAAGGCTCCATTATATAATCCTTGCTCTATTAGGTCAGCATGCAGAAAGCTTTAGGAAAAGGCGAGTGGGTGGCTTGTTGTATAATCCCTTTGCATGGCTGTCTGGTTCATAGTTTAACATAAAGGATCTGAGAGAGTTCAGCGTGCCCTTTAATTATGTTGTAGATTTCGACGTTAAAATTTCATGTTCACGAGTGAGCTTGTATGTGGAGTCTTATCAGTCAGAATGGAACAAAAGTAACCGGCGTATGTGAACAAAGGTAATTAAGTTCTGATGCAAACAGTTGAAAGCACCGAGTCTCCTTTAGCAGCAATTGTAGCGACGGTTGCGACTCCAAATGATGGATGCAGAGCTCACACAGCTGCATTGATGTCGATGTGAAGAAGCACACATCTGATGCAAACACAGAAACCCTTGCTCGGGAGGACGGTTCGAGGCCCATCTGGTCTCCGCAAGTGCTGTTTCTTGTCTGCTTCGTGAGACATGATGGTGGAGTATATGCCATCCGGTCCTCGAGCACCACCATTGCAGGCTCTACTGACACGTTCTTCCGAGCTCCCCTCTCCCACCCTTTCCGGCGTACTGTCCTTTATTGCCACCCTTCCTTTCTTTATCGAGTGACCAACACAGCATTCCCGTCCTTTTGTGGTCTCCGAGTTATCACCAGCTTCGACCCCAAGTCTGTCATGCTCGTCTCTTTCCATCTTTCCTTCTTTCTTTCCTTTCATCCTTTCCAACTTTGTTGCCACTGCGACCTGGGGAGTCGTGTCGTCTTTTAACGTAAAGGCGGTGGAGACGGGACAAGTCGGCTTTATGGTGGTGTGAAACATGAAGAACACCACTTCCAACCCTCTCTAGAAGCCCTCTTTAAGGGAAGAAAAGGCTGTGAACGCCACTCCCCTACCTTTAGTTGCTCTGTTGCCGACTAGGTCACTGTTGCCATACGAGTGAGAGAAGGTGGCGACGATGCTTGAACAAGCTGATGTTACCCATCTGCACGTAACAACAGCGACAACTGACATTGTCGATGAGCACATTGTGAGGACATGTCAACGAACCCAAGAATTAGAATGCAGAAACCAAATGCATTGATCTTTTCGTGCATGTATCTCCTTCGAGTGCATACGTACAGGCACATTGCAGCGAACAGGAAGACAAACATAATAAGCCACCATTGCTGCACTTCACCTATTCCGACAGCCATCGATTGTTTACGTTCAACAATCGTACTTCCAGTAGAAGAAGCAGTACGTGTTTTGTGTTGCTTGATGAAGAAGTAAGCTACAGTCCAGCAGGAGACATCAAGGCGTGCCCAAAACAATTGCATAAACCTGTCGTCTATGATCATGGTCATGCTAATGTACTGCCACGAAGTATGAACTAGGGATTCACTTTAGGACTTTGGAGACCTAAAACATGGATTCTCCTCGGAGGAGGACATCAGAAACGTTGACGAAACAGCGCATAGGATCCCTAGAATATTAGTCACAAGTTCTGCAGTGTGTTCTTGCAACTTTTCACCTAACACCATTGTTTAGTGGTCAAGGGGCCAATTAGATACGTTTGGATGGTCAGAAACATATGGCCTTAGATGAGGAGGAAGGGTGGCCAACGCGTGGATCGCGGCTTGATCAACGTTTTGGGAGCTTTAAAATTCGCAATCGGAGCCTTCTTCCGCTGGTCCCGCGGTGCAGCTACGGCCTGCGTGGCGGTCCGACCTTTCGCCGTCTCATTGGCCGCACCAATCTTGCGGCGAAAGCTTATCCTGTTCCGCCGCTTGACCCGCCACCGTGGACACATCATAAGTAGGCTGGAAAGACGCGGGCCCTCCTTGGTTGCGAGGCACCCAATTATTTCGCACGTCTGGGCCCATTTGCCCAGTAAACTAAGAAGTAACAGAATCAAATCCCTCCCCCACTTTTCTTGGCATTTACTTTTTGTTGTGCTTTGATATCTCTAATGTACTTCTCCAATGAGCAATAGATGCAAACAATGATACAAGAGCATCAGTTGCTCTTAGACTTATGCCCTGAGGCACTTCTTCCTCTTCTTCTTCTCAGCGCCAATGATTTCCTCTTCACTGTAACATCTAAAAACTGCAAGTCGAGATGTGTTGAATAGGAAGTCTGAGAACAGTTCTAACTTTAGTTCTGGAGGTGGCTGTCAGTGTATGTGATATGGCAAGAAGTTGACAGTACACCAACTAAAGAGCTAAATGGTTGACAAAGATTTCGTCTCTAGTAGTACTAATTCACTGCTGTCTTAGGTACAAAAAATTAGATATTTCTTTGATGCGTGTTCCCATACCTACAACTCTCCTGCGGCAGTAAGTCCTCTTGAATTGGAGTGGCGTCAATTTATTGCACTGTTGCTTATCCCACTGAAAGCTCTATGTGGACAGACCTACTGCTTCAATGTAGTATGAGTCAGAGACATGTGGCCTAGCACAAGTACAACTAAAAAAAAGCCTCCATGCTATTTTCTATTGAGAGAGATTAAGAAGCTGATCAAAAGCACAAAAGTGACATGATCTTTGAAACCTTTCTTTGTAATTTGAGCAGAACATTGATTGGGGTGATAGATCGGAAAAGGCATCATTTGGTAATCAAAGATCATAACAATAAATAAATATGAGTGAATCAGATTACTCTCACTTGTTTTGGCATATATAAATATGAGAGAGAATTATTCCATGAACACAAAGACGATTCCACCAGATGGAGAAAATAATGGTGGAAAAGAGCATATCTGTGATAAGATTACATGGTTTTTTAGATGGCGAACACATTCGAAGTTAGAAATAGTAGGAGAATGCTGCAGATCAATGGAGTTGCTTTGGTTGCACTTCAACATTATGCAATGGGTTGAGACATGGGAAGGCTTCTTCCTTCCTTGTCTTTGTTGGAAGTCTTTTTTGCAGCATCCATGCAACAAGTTGCCCTACCAAATGTGTGGTCAATCTTCATGCAAACTGGACTCACCTAAACCAACAACACCTTCCAAATTCCTGTCCCCACCACAGGATAAAGCCATGCACAACACCCCTGGCTCCACATAAGCTATGGTTTTATCTTGTAGTAGCTCATATTCCCTGAATCAAATCAGATTTACCCCTCCTTTTATCTTCTTTTTGTTGTGAGGCATCAATCGAGGTGTTTTCTGTCTACCTTGGTTCTCCATTTGGATTATTAATTGTTATCTTTGTGGCCCCTTTTTTATCATCAGATGATGGAGATTGCAAGCCCAAGAACTTTCTTTTATTTCATCTCAACTACAATAGCAGTTGGTGATGGCGACCACTGTTTGGTAGGCAAGGTGGAGTTCCACCAAAAGGCCGGTTGTCAAAGCACCACATGACCCAACACATCCCCGTCCTTCTATTAACCCTAAAAGACAAATCCAACAAAGAAGATCCAATGGGGTGGCAATGGAGTGGGGAATGATTTGATACCTAAAGGGTCTCCATATGTGTCTCACTGGCCAATGCCCGAGAAGCCACATATGCCTTCCTAGGAGGCATGCCACAGACCTAAGGTGAAAGCTACCGGTGCATTTATGTATGCAGGCGACAAAGAGATAAGACTTGCTCGGCAAGTGACAAAAGATATATCTCAAGGTTGAGGTGCACGTACATTCTCATGCACATGTATATCCTTTAATCTTAGGGAAGCAGTATTAATCAGTAGCCTCTCATCAAGCCTCACTTCACATAGAAACCTACATACAGGAGAGCAAGCTATAGAGTGTACATAAATCATCATAGATAGATTCATCAAGTTTATCTATCTTCTTCCCTTATGTGAAAGCAGAGGTTCTTAATTTCCGCATTCATTCAACTTGAAACGGTATTCTTAAGAACAAGAATCAATGTATATTCATATTCATATCATACAATCATTAACACGTGTTGATATTCTGCATTCTATGAACAAGAAGCTAAAGATCGCATGCCTCTTCTTCCTTGACTTCCTTGGACAAGTTAAAGATCACACAGTTGCACACACATCTCTTTGTTAGGGCACTAGGAACATCCTTTCGATCGGCACTCTCCGAAAAGGATTGAGATATATGTGTCATTGTTACTGCCACCTGACACCTACCATCCACATCCTCGATCTAGATGAGATATATTGTCCTATTTCCACTACTAGACTTGGCTCAGCATTGGTATTATTTGACGTAGCCTTAACTGGGGAGACACCGAAGCACCCAGTGCATGCCTTCCATCTAACTTTAGCCGGCATGCAACTTCTCATCATGTTCATTCACTAAACAGCATGCAATTTGAAAAGACCAAAGACTGA